CTCTCTCTCTCTCTCTCTCTCTCTCTCTCTCTCTCTCTCTCCCTCTCTCCCTCCCTCCCTCCCTCCCCCCCCTCCCCCTCCCCCTCCTCCCCTCCCTCTCCTCCTCCCTCCCTCCTTCCCTCTCTCTCCCTTTCCCTCCCTCTCCTGTTCCCTCCCTTTCCCTCCCTCTCTCTCTCTCCTCCCTCCCTCTCCCCCCCCTCCCCTCTCTCTCTCTCTCTCTCCTCCTCCTCTCTCTCTCTCTCTCTCTCTCTCTCTCTCTCTCTCTCTCTCTCTCTCTCTCTCTCTCTCTCTCTCCTCTCCCTCCCTCCCCTCCCTCCCTCCCTTGATGGTACTTCAGTTTTTCCTTAATAAACAGCTCTTATTAAACTGCGGTTAGTTTTTCTGCGCGGAATTTCTTCTCGTTGCTTGGTCATGATCTCAGTTGCCTCCATCTTTATTATCAAGGAACGTTTATATATATATGTATAGGTGTGTGTGTATATATATTTGTATAGGTTCCTTGGTTATTAGTATCTTTTATATTCGCTTGTTTTTTTCATTATCATTACTAATTATTAATTTCAATATTATTATCATTATCATTACTAATTATCTTCGTCATATCATTACTAATAATCCTCATATCAATATATCATTGAAATCATCGCCATTATCATTGTTATAGTTTCAATCGTGGTAGTAGATTGAAGGAAGGAAATCGTAGAAGAAAAAAAAGAAACAAGAAAAATTAGAGAAGAAAGAGAAAAAAATGAAATCGTAGAAGAAAAAAAAGAAAGAAAGAAAAAGAAGGAGAAGAAAGAGAAATAAATGAAATCCTAGAAGAAAAAAGAAGAAAAAGAAAAAGAAGGAGAAGAAAGAGAATAAAAATTAAATCGTAGAAGAAAAAAAGAAAGAAAAAGGAGAAGAAAGAGAAAAAAAATTAAATGGCAGAAGAAGAAAAAGAAAAAGAAGGAGAAGAAAGAGAAAAAAAAAATGAAATCGTAGAAGAAAAAAGGAGAAGGAAGAGAAAAAAATAAAATCTTAGAAAAAGAAAGAAAAAGGAGAAGAAAGAGAAAAAAATGAAATCGCCGAAGAAGAAAAAGAAAGACAGGAAGAAATGGAAAAGCAAGAGAAAGCGGCATTACAGACAAGTCGATTCCCCGGTTTTATTCTATTTCATTTTTATTTTTTATCCCATTTATTTCTTTCGCGTCATGAAGCGTTTGAGTTTTATTGTTTATATTTTTTCTTCTTTTCTCTGGTTTCTTCCATTTTTTTCTTTATTGTTTTTAAGATGTTCATTATTATTGTAATTTGTTTTATTATCATCATTACTATTATTACTGTTGTCACTGTTTTGTTGTTATTATATTTGTTACCATTTTGTTATTTTTTTTTATCGATATAATTATTGTTATGATTAATATTAATTTTATTATTGTTATGACTAATGCTACTATTTTTGTTTTTATTATTGTTATTATTACTACTGTTATTGTTAGTTATTATTGTTACCACCATCACCTCCGCTACCATCATCATCATCATCACCATCATCATCATCACCACCATCATCACCATCACCATCATCATCATCACCATCATCATTATTATCATCATCACCACCATCCCCATTACCACCACTACCACCATCATCATCATCATTAGTTATTGTTATCGTTCTCGTCATTCTCCTCATCATTATCATCATTATTCGCTGACACACACACCATATGTCCATTTGTTTGTTTGTTTTTTTACTCCAATTAAGTCACTTTATTTACAATGTCTTGGTTAATTCCTGTTATTAATGGGAATTACGAGAGAAAATGAGGTGCAGAGTTGGTTATTTACTTAATTTTTGTTGTGTTTTATTGAATGTTGTTATTGATAGTAGTAGTAGTAGTATTGCCATTATTATTGTTGTTGTTGTTATTATTATTACTTTCTGTTATTATTACAATATTATTATTATTATTATGATGATTATTATTATTATCCATATCATTATTATTGTTGTTATTATTATTGTTATTTTGTTGTTATTTGTTTGATATTGTTATTATTGTCATTATTATTATTATTATTATTGTAATTGTAATTGTTATTATTGTTATCATCATTATTATTTTTTTCGTTATTATTATTTATTATTAGTAGTAGTAATAGTATAAATTATTTTTTCCATAAATGGTATCATATTTTTATTATTACTGTTATTATTATTTATTATTATTATCATTTATCGTCGCACTTACCAAATCATTCTTACATTTTGAGCAGGAGCAAAATTGATGATAATTAAAGTTTAATCTTATTCTTTATTTGATTGACATTATTTTTGCTTTACATTGTGTGCGTTTATGTGTGTGTGTGTGTGTTTCTATGCATTCGTGTGCGTGTGTATGTTTGTCAGTGCTGCCATATAGTACATCGTGCGTGCGTTGTGTGTCTCGCCGCCCGCTTTCTCCCCCTCCCGCCCACCACCTCCCCCTCCCCCCATAAGCGCCGCCTCGTCCGG